TTTCTTTTTACTTTCGATTATTGACGGTAACAAGGGAATAAAACACCTCTCCTCAGACACGCAGCACACTCTATCACAGGGAAACCTGTATAATGAGGCCCAGCAGTCTGAGGTGACATTTAGGTGTGCTCTCTCTCCTACTAAACTTCTTCCCTTTCTTGTGGCCATCTGGACCTACATAAATCCCCCTGGGATTTTTGTATTTGCCTGGGTGGTGCGCTCTCACCTACTGTCCCTTTATAGCAAGGTTTGGCAGCAAGGGAGTAGCCCACCACATAAACTCCGATCCTCTAGTGTGCTGGAGAACGCAACTAGGCTGTCACTAGTGTGGGTCGAGCTTAGGACCTCTAATCTTTCGAATCTTTCTAACCTTCTCATCTCTCTCCAAATCACCTCCATCCCCTCATCTCATCTCACCACGTCCATGTAAAATGATCAAGATTAAGATAATTTCTCAAGCCGGCCCCGGTCCTAACCGGTGGAACGCCCTCGCCAAGGCTCTCTTCGATGCCAACATGACGACGGCGAACTTGCCCAAAGAATCTTTTCCTCCTCAACAGTTGATATGCTAAAGAACCTGGGGTTCACTCCTGTGATACCCCTTGACATGAAGGCCAAGCTCACGCTTGTATTCAAGAAACTGGATAGACGCGTGGTCAGTGAGCAAGAGTCAGACATTGACGATGAAATCATGGCAGCTGCTCCCGACTCCCATGTCGAGAACGTGTTTGTCATGAAGACTTCCTACTTCCTTAAAGTCCGCTTCTCAGATCACCAGGCCGCTAAGAATATCAAAGAAAAGGGTATTTACCTTTTCAATCTCATTGTTGCTCCTTGGCAGATAGAGTTTGAGCGCTTCACTCCACTCAGGCAGTGTATGAACTGCTATGGCTACGGTCACCTTAAAAGCCAAGAGTGTCAGGTGCTCTGAATGCGGTTCTCACACACATTCGTACAGGGACTGCAAAAGTAACATCAAGAAATGCCTCAACTGCGGTGGTGACCACCGCACTTTCGCCAACAGCTGCCCTGTATGAAAAGAGGCAATGAAAACGTCCCACCAAAAGGAAAAGGAAAGAGAGAAAGAGAAAGAAGCTAGGCCTCTTAAGGTAGTGGCGCAAAGGGCAGCGCAAGAGACAGTCCAAGCAACCACCTAATCCCTAATCAATCAAGTCCGCCAGGACTGAACCAGCCATCCTCTTAGCCCTTCCAAGCGATCTCTCCAAAGAGATCTTGATAGTTCTCCTGCACGCTCATCTACAGAACCTTATTGCCCCTGTGAAGGACTTCAGGCACCATGCCAAAGAGACCCTAGCAAGGAACAACCTTCCTGAGCTTGATCTGGGGGAGGCCGACTTCTGGGGCATCTTAAATGTCATTCAGCTCCCTGCTAAATCTCCTGACACAACCTCCACAGCCAATGGGAAGTCATCACATGACACTGCCCTGGAGAAACAACTAATGAAGATCCCCCCTGATCTCCCAACCACCCCTATGACAGCTCCTAAACCTGACACCTCTGTCAGACCAAAGGAGCAAGACCCCCCAGGGAGGCCCCTCACACCTCCTCTGGCCCACCACCACCATCCCCGGTCACAAAAAAAAAATGAGCATCACAACATGGCTATAGCTAAAAAAATACATGCACACTTCTTGGAAAGTAACATACTCATTGACAACACCATGATCGAACACTACGACATTCGCAAAATATTCGCTAAATACCCAACGGACACCTCATGGAGGACTCAACATAAAACAAACAACACAACATGGCACTTACCACACTTCACTCACGCCTCACCATCATGCAACACAAAGTCTTACACTGGAAAAAACGTAAAAACGAACTCTGCAACACCTACAGAATACACGACCCACATATCATCCTATAGCTATAACATATAGCATTCAAAAACAACATCCAACGTAAAATCATCAACAACTTCCACTCAGACCTCTTGGCAGTCGAAATAAACACATCACAAGGACCCATCATACTGACAACACTATACCTACCCCCACGTAGACCATACATACCAGAACCTGACATCCTGCAGCTCCTGAGACATAATAAACCGATATACATCATGGGAGATTTTAATGCAAACCACCCACTATTTGGCTACAATCACACCAACAGCATAGCCAGAGGCCTTGCCTCATACATACAACAAGGCAGACTGACACACCTCGGTCCTCATACACCAACATACATTACCCATAACACAGCAACAACACCCGATATAGTCCTTGCAAACCACAGACCACACCTGCATCAATATATAACAACAGACGATATCACATCCAGCGACCACCTCCCGGTCATCCTAACACTGTCAACAAACCCTATCATGATCCCAACACAACCCCGAGAATCATTCAAACATGCAAACTGGGAGGGTTTCAAACAAGCACTTGAAAACACACAAGTGATTGATCTCGAGGGGCAACCTACACACACAATAAACACCCACCTTGAACAGTGGTACACAGACATACAGACGGCCCGGCAGGCCAACATCCCCCAAACAATATACAAAACAATCCCTCACTACAGAGAAACACATCGTCTGAAATTGCTTAAAATACAATACAGGCACTTACACGACCTTTCAACACCACGGGGCTG